GGAGAAGAAAGAAGGAAATTGTATGCAGTGTGAAAGTGTTACTATTTGAAGGGACAGGCTGATTCGAGGATAAATCTGCTTTCCATACGTGCTTCAACTTGGATGAACCCTCAACAGTCCTATGCTAAAGGAATGACAAAAGGTCATATATTGTGTGATTCTATTCAGATGATACGAAGACAGAAAGATTAGTGGTTGCTGGAGGGCTGGAGATGTTGTGAGTTACTTATTGGGCTGTTAACCAAAGGGTTGGGGGTTTAAACCCACCAGTTACTTGTCAGAGGAAAGATGGGACAGTCTCCTCTTGCTAAAATATTCAGCCTCAGAGATCCAATGAGCCAGGCTTGACTTGATGACAGTGGGGTTGGGCTTGGGAGGATTGGCGGGGCAGTAGGGAATGGGGAGTTTTGGTTAACATGGAGTTTCTTTTTGGGGTGATCTTTACGATCTTCACATTCGCAAAGGAACTCTCGTTCTACACAAAATCAACACCAATCCATTTACCTCGTTTACCATAATGAGAAGCCTGGAAAGGAGACAAAGAACCTTTGCCTTAAGTCCCCATTTGTGCAGTTGACACGTCTTTTCTGTGTGTGGCTTCATCGTTTATTCCATACTGACAACTACTGAAGTGTGTGAGGAGTTGCGCTCTTTTGTTTTTTCTCTGTCCCCTGGAGCCGCGCCCTTGCTCAGAGTTAAGTGCACAGTAGGGCCCCAAGACACACTGGCCAGTTATGGTTGGTTGGTGTCTTTCCAGCTGGTGTTAAGAAGCGTCAGGGGCAGGGCCAGAAGGGGAAGAAAAGGTAAGCTTCCCAAGCCTCCCTACTGGACTTCATTCTCTTCCACCTGAATAGATGCCATTCTCTGTTCTCTTTAGAAATTTCTGGAGTTCCCAAGCCAGGCACAAATCAGAAGGGGCCAGTTTCTGGAGAAGGCCATCATAGAAGCAGACAGTCAGGCAAAAAAAAAAAAAAAGGAGATAGACCCTTTAAAGGCTGGTTTGACATAGTGGCTTCAACAGTGGATCTAAGTGCCACAGAGACTAGGAGGAGAGGGCAGGAGCAGGTGGGGATTCTTTCTATAGTTTGGGTCATTTGGATTAACCAGGAGAGAAGATCAATGACATAGCTCGGAGACTTCCACCTCCCTGCCTTCCATATTTATGTCCTGCATACAGAGAAGTAGGACGAGACACTCAACTAGTTTCTAGTATCTGGAGTGAACCTGAAAAGAGAGGCCTAGAATTTCTGGGCTGATGGAGAGGTTAGACTTGAGAGAGCCCTGAAAAGGCATTATTTCAGAGATTGAGAGTGTATATAAAAAAATAACTTGGAATATTCAACAATAAGATGAAAAAAATGTGCAAAAAATGATAAAAAAATTGAACTAGGGTGGCATTTAAGATATTTCCCTTGAATTTGTCCTAATTTACCCATATCTCTAGTCCTACCAGGGCTATCTATATTTAGAAACTTAAAATGAGTGTGTTGAGTCTGTAGGGGTTTCTGACGCTGAGTTGGATTAGACAGTCCAGTGGAACACTGTGTGCCATGTTAATCCATATTTAAACTAGGGTGACCTTACATTCCGTTTCACCTGGGACAGGCCTGGTTTACACCCGTTGTCCCTGCAGAATTATTATGAGCATCCACTCTACTTTCCAAACAATCCCATTCTGAAAGATTAAATTAGGCAATCCCTCTCGGGCTCCTAAATTTTTTTTTTTAACCAGACATTACACTTTCTTAGTAACAGTCATGATTTATAGTTCTTTTTCTAAGCAGCCTTGGAACTCTGCAAAAAAAAGCCATGGGCAGCACAAAGAGGATGCCAGTCACACAAATAAAATTATTAGCTCACAACACGTGGATTCAATAATGTGTGCTGCTAATTGATAAAGATTCTTTTTTAAAATCGATCCGGTTGCATTTCAGTTCCTTTAGGAATCTGACTGTCTGATCAATGAGTTAATCAGTGATAATGGTCAAATAGCACATACCTTCATAGCCAAAGAGAAGTAATAACAAGAAGCCTTCTACCTTGAGTGGCATTTTCCTCTCGTCCTGGCTGCAGCTCTTCCTGACTCAAATGGTGACCTTCCTCCGGAGTGGGGAATTAACTTGAGCACTGGCCTAATTAAGCATCTTATTCCATTTAGTTCTTAGGGTTCTGGCTGAGCCCCATCAAGTTAACCCACAGCGTTACCTGCTTGGGCAAGGAGCTCTCAAGGAAAATACTAATGCTACCAAAGTCTGGTTAGCCAAGGAGGACAGTGGCTTTCGTCCACCTTTAAATGTGAGGGAAGCAGTGGAGGGAAGTTGAAAAGAGGGCCAGAAGGCTGAGGATTTAATCCTTTCTCTGCTATCATCTCCTTAGGCACGACTTTGAGCGATTTCCTGCCAGTCAGCACTGGCATTCTTGAATTCTAAGAAAATTACATAGATTCATTCCCCTCTTCAGAAGCAACTTAGCATCACCTTCATGCTGGTTCGCTCAGAAACATCCTAAATTTGAGAGGGAGGACGGTTACCTGCACCAATGTACTGGGCTGTCTGCGTTCCTTGTGTTTTCAGAAGGTAGGAAAGGTGAGAGGAATGGTTAAGGAGTTAAGAAAGGCTGAGAAACAGCATTATCACTTCAGAGCACAGAGTCTCAGCCCTGCTGGGTGCATAGCTCAGATCTGCCACTTAGTGCTTACGATGTGATGTGACTTTGGGCGAGCTGCTGCTGCTTTCTGTGTGTTAGTTTTCTCATCTGTAAAAATGCTAGAACTTTGTACCGCATACCAAAAGAACAAACACATCTGTCTTGGAGTAAATGCAACAAGGATGTTCCTTGACTCATTGTTGACTCAGTGACACGTAACAACAGTAACAACTTGATATCGAGTGCTTTTGAGAATTATATAATTATTGCCAAGGAGTCAGAACCAACTCCTAGTTGACCCTCCAGTGAGTTTTCTGGAGGCTGTGAATCTCTTTCAGAATCTCAGAGATCATCTTTCTCTCAAAGAGCTGCTAATCTTGAACCAACAGAGAGAAGCCACCTTTGGGTTAAGCAGCTCAATTCTATGGATTAAAGCCACCAAAATTCCCTTTATATGGAATGACACATGCAAAATGTTTACAACAGTGTTTGATGTAATTGTTGTATCCTGTGATGAAACTGCCCCATAGTGTTGCCAAGGCTGTAATCTTGACAAAAAAGGTTGGCACAGTGTGTTACATGTTCAGCTGCTAACCAAGAGCTTGACTGTTCGAATCCACCAGGAACTCCACAGGAGACAGAAGATACAGAGACAGAAGAAACTTGATGGAGAGTCACCGTGAGGAGGAATTGAGGGCAGCAGGGCGTGTGTGTGTGTGTGTGTGTGTGTGTGTGTTGATTTTCTGATAACCTTTACAAAAGGAACCCTAGTGGTGCAGGGTTTAAAACACTCTGCTGCTAACAGAAAGCTCAGGGGTTTGGACCCAATAGATTCTCAGTGGGAAGAAGATTTGGCAGTCAGTCTATCCCTAAAACCTAGGAAACCGTATGGTGCCATTTTGTTCAGTCCTCAGGGCAAGAACAAGCAAATCCATGGCAGTGGGTTTAGTTTTAGGTTTTATGAGAGCAGGTCACCAGGGCTTTTCTGTCATGGCGGCTTTTGGGTGGGTTTGAACCTCTGACCTTTTGTTAGTAGCCCATTTGGCATAATGAGCTATTATTATTACACAATCATTAAGGGTAAAGTCAACAAAGTGATTGTAACAACAGATGTGTTAGAGAAAAGGATACCCTGAGCAAAACTGTATGGACAAATGTAGAAAAGAAGTTTCTCCTTCCTCTTTTAGTTCTTGGCCGCTGTCATTCGATTTCTCTGATCAAACATAAAAATAACCCCCACATTCTTAAGAATGATTATAATAAGCCTATCTCAAAGAGGAACAAAAAAGGAAATAGGGAAATGTTTCAGACAGCACTTCTTGAACGTCTCTACAAGCCTGACACTTGTTCTATTCTATCTGATTAGGTTCTTCATTAAACTTCTTTATTGCTTTATTGAAGTTGTCAATTATTTCATTTTACTGAGTTCCACAATTAATACCCTTGGAAGCAGCAGTCAAAAAATACCACGATGAATTGCATTGGGGAAATTTACTGCAAAAAAACTTATGAAAGTATTAGAGAAGTGAAGATGTCACTTTAAGGACTAGGGTGCACCAGATCCAACCAATGTTATTTTTAATTGTCTCATACATATGAAAGCTGGAAAGTCAATTAAAGAAGACTGCAGGAGACTTGATACCTTTGCTGCCAGAAAAACGAACAAATATGTCTTGGAAGCAATGAAGTCAGAATAGAGGATGGGGAGATTTTGTCTCAGATGTTTGGGGCATGTTTTCAGGAGGGACCAGTCCTTACAGAAGGACGTCATACTTGGAGGAGTGCAAGGTCGGCAAAACAGGAGGGCCGTCAGCGTGCTCCAGCACAGCAGTAGTTTTGAAGATGGTGCATGACTGGGATGTGTTTCGTTACATAGGGTCACTGTGAGTCAGAATGAACAAAGTACAACCAAAAAAAAAAAAAAAAGATCTTCCTAGTCTGTATTTTAGCGGAAAATGTTAGGACCTTTAATAATTCAACTGCAATGAAAGGGATGCTCTTTTGCCATGCATTTAGTTTGAGGTTCTTGGGAACTGTGCTGCTCTGACTTGCCCCTTGTCTGTCGTCTTTTTCCCACGAGTGACCGATTGTCCCATTGTCCCAGGTCGCCTGGAAGAACTAGGAAGGAGAGGTCTACTTGGCCTGCCTCATCTCCTCGGTTATTTCTCAGCTCTGAGGGTGGGCGCCGAGCTCTGGAGGGATCGGGCGAGAGGGTCTCTCATTCTGCTTTGAGGATGAAAACGTATTAAAAAGAATGAGGGAAATTAGGTAACTCTGTACCTCTCCCTGCACTTTTTGGCCCTTAAATATTCAAGATTGTGTGGAAGAAAAAACCGGGGACAAAGTAAGAAAAGTGATCCCACTGGGGCTCGAACCCAGGACCTTCTGCGTGTAAAGCAGACGTGATAACCACTACACTATGGGACCTCCGCGCAGGAAGCGCCCGTCAATGCCCTATCCCTTGGTTACACATGCGCTCGCGTTACGCTGTGGCCACGCCCTTGCACTCTGGCCACGCCCTTGCACTCTGGCTACGCCCGCGCACTGCCTTCAGTACCTCCTCAGAGGCGTGGTAACGATGCTTCCCGCCCCCTCGCCAGCCGGTTGGAGGCCCCCGAGAGCCGGCTGAGGCTTGGGCCCAAGGTTAGCTGAGCGTGCGGCCCCCTTAGGCGTCTGTCCCAACCGTTCCCTTAGCCGTGCCGTTGGGGGCGCAGCGTTTTCGGGCACTTCCCCTCAGTTCTGAGGGGACCGCACTTTCCTCCTCCTGTCCTCTGCACCCCAACCGTCCCGAAGTCTCGCGGCCGGGCGACTGGTCAGCGTCGGCAGGCTGGACGAAGTAGCCGGCGTCCGAAGCGGGTTTAGGGGTCGGGGTGGGGGTGGGGCAGGAGCCAAAGACTGTTTTAGGGACGGCTGGGGGAGCCCTTTTCTTGGCGGAGTTACTTTGCCGGAGGTTAAAAGAACCAGGGCTTCGTCCCGGGTGTGCAGCGCCCTAACTGTAACCGCGGGGCTCAGGTGTGGGCCGCTCCATGGGACTCCCACGGGGTGTGGAGACGGCGTGGTCTCCTCAGGCCAGCGCCCCGTCATGGCGGGAGGGGGAGTGAAGTGGTTTGAGGGACCCGCTTCAAAATGACCAAGCCAGCCCTTGGCCATAAATGATGGGCGTCAGAGCGGAGCCAGTGCGAAGGGTGTAGCCGCATCAGCCCTTCTAGAAGGTTCTCGGTCCTGAACAGGTGCTCTTCCCTCCAGCGCAAAAATGGAGCCTCGTTTCTTGCTTTCCCCTGTCAGTGTCCTTTGTCCCTTCCCCCCTTCCTGTGCCTCTGGTTGCTTCTACAACACAGCTCAAAAGCCCACTTGGAGCCGTTTGAGGCACATTTTGAGGTGCCCACCTGGCCTTGATTTGAGATGAGGCTGACAGGGTGAATGAGAAACCAACCCGAGTTTGTGGGAACCCCCTCGCTGACACCCGTCTTCCTGGCCTCATTTGGGAAATTCCTGAGTTGGACTCACTCCTTCTCTCACCTCTGAGCCTAAATAGTATGTATAGCGTGCAGTTGAGAAAATGGGGGCAAGTCACGTGCCATAACCCCCCCTTAGAATCTTCTGGAAGGCAGGTCTGCAGCCAGGGCCTGGGTCTCCCGCGTCCTCTGTTAGCTCGAGGCTGGATGCCTCTCGAGGCCTCCTTCCCTTCCTTGTTCATGCATTTCCAGAGGCCACTTGACCACTGGAGGCTTCGCTTGGGAGCCACGAGCCAGAGGACGACTTCCGAAAAGCTCCATGTTTCCTGCTAGACCGAGAGCTAATAATATCCGGGCTCCCAGCTCAGCAGAACTCCATCCCACCTGCGGTCAAACCCATGTCAGGTCCAGAATGCCGAGAACTGGTCCGAAAATGACACTCACCTGGGGCCTCCTGCACGCTAGACCTCCAGAGCTCATTCTAGGGAGTAGCATTCTAGGGAGTAGCACTGCCAACCCAAAGACAGGCGGTTCGAATCCACCAACTGCTCAGTGAGAGCATGAGGACAATGTCCTTCTATGTGATTTACAGCCTGTTATGAGCTGTTTTGACTCGATGGCATGTAGTGACAGTGGTGCACTGGTTGGGACCCTCTACTTCCCCTCCAGCTGTTTGCCCTTGTTATAAGGGCGGGGTTGCCAGGGCTTACCCCACATTGGACGTGTATCTCACACTCCATGTAGAAGAGAGACTGGTTACATACACCCTAGGTTGCAGCCTTCCGCAAAAATATTTTTTTAGAGCCTTTTCTTCATTCTGACAAGAAGAGGGAATTTTGTTTCTTTCCCCCGCCCCAAGATGTAGTCATGCTATTACTGGTAAAGCACCATATGGTTCACTTCCACATACAGCCCTGGGCAGTAGCCCTGTGAAGTAGCTGTGGTGGATAGCATTATCTATCTTTCATCAGAAAACGTTGAAGCTGAAGAGTTTGAAAGCCTTGTCTGAGACCGTCCAGCTGGTGAGTGGCAGGGCTGGGCTCACACTCAGCCTTCTGAGATTTCAGTGATTGTGGGTGGCCGCCCTCCATAAAGGCCATGCATTGTGCCTTTAGGAGTGGTTTTGGTCTATTTTATTATGTATGCATGCCAGTGAGGAATGGATACTTTATTTGATGTTTATATTTCATAATTTTTAAACTAAAGTAGGAGCAAAAATCCTGTTGGAAACATCTATTAGCAACGTTCACTTTATAAACCGTTGCCAAAAATGACTTTTATCTTATAAACCATAATTGGGAGAGGATAATGACTCCAATAGTCACAGGTTTGCCTGGCACCTTACTCTGTTTGATCGAATTTGTGAGCCCATTAGCTATAAGAAAAATATAATTAGAAACAAGCAAATAAACACACATTTTCTTGGGGAATAGTTTGGTACTGGCATCTGATGAGTTAAGGCCAGGGGTCTTTCTAGAGTGCACAGTACAGTCCCCACAACAAAGAATTACCTGCCCCCAAGGTCAATAGTGTCTCAGTAGAAACTCTGCTTAAGGTGAATTGTCCACATTCTTTTCTAAGTCCAACCTCTCCACTTGTACCCTAGGTCCTATCTGCTCTTGTCTACTTAATAACAAAAACTCCAGCAATTCACTCCTCTTGCGTCCACATTTATTTCCTCCTCTTTACTGCATTGGCTAGTCCCAATACAGTAAATCCTTGACTGGTGGAGTAGTCCATATGAAGTTGTACTGCCAACTCAAAGGCTACACCTCTCTTCATTGTTCTAATCCACCAGCCGCTCTGAGGTTGGAAGATCCTCCCATGCAATTTAAAGCTTGAAAACCCACTGGAGTGTCGGCAATGAGTTGGTTCTGACATGACAGCAGGGGTTTTTTTTCCTTATTGGATGACTCCAGTTAGCAAACAAGCATTGTTGTTATTTCTCTCATCATTAAAATAATAACAGTTTCAATCCCATCTCTCCCTGTAGCTACTCCCACTTCTCTGCTTTTGTCTAAAGTTGCTTTCTCTAGTTCCTTTATCCATCATCCAAAACTCTACTCATCAAGATCACCTGTGATTCCTACCTTCCTAAATTGTCTAGTTATCTTTATTTTAACAGCATTGGAAACAGTTGATTCCTCTCCCTTCTTGAAGCATTTTCATCTCTTATAAGATACCAACCTTTCCTGGTATCTGTCTCCCACTTCACTATTTTCTCATACTCCATCACTTTAGCTGGATCTTTGCACTTTAAACATAGTCAGCCTTTGGATTTATGCATCTTTTTTCACCAATCAATGAGAATTAGTGACCTCATTCAGTTGAAATACTTAGCCCATAAATGATAACCTAGATGACTGCCACATTTATATCTCTAGTCCAAACATTCCTTCCCACCTCCAAACCTACCTACTCAACATCTCCAAATCTAATCTCATTAGAGAATACTATATTGGGTCCATCTTTTAGATTTATCTTTAATGTGGTTATTATTTTCTAGTGTCTCCTCTGTTATTACCATACAAATAAAAAACATTGGCATTTTTTTTTTGTGGATTATTGCCGGTAGCGCAATATCCTGGCCTCCTGACTTCTGCACTTGGTTGATTACACCTGTTTTCTACACAGTAGGCAGAGTGAACTTTCAAAAACCTCTGTTAGGATGAGAAGGGAGGAGGCAAGAGCAGAGATTAGCCAACAGATGAGTAAGGATGAAGGGAAAAGCAAGATGCATTCAATATTAAATGAAACATGATAATAAATGCCTCTGATCAATTGAAATTAAAGTTATAAAATGTA